TGTGTGGATGGGGAAGAGGGAGTTCTTTCAGAAGAGAAAAGAGGAAAAAGCACAGGTGCCCTGGTGGCCATTCCACCTCTAAATTTTTCCATGAATGTGCAGAATAAATTTTGCTATGTGCACTGAGGCATGTATGGATGAGCACACCAGTAGAAAAACATGGTGTCAGCTGTGGGTTCTGTGCTGATCAGTTGGGCAGCATTTGAATCTCTTCTGGGTGTCTGTCCAAGTGCACAACTTACAGGGAACACTGGTGGGGTTTATGTGAATGGAGCCTTGTATGAGCCTTTTTGCTTGTGAGGAGTTCATCTTTATAGGATGCCTGCTTTTAATATATAATGTATTAGCATCAGTATTGATACTACTGCAGTGGGTTGCCTGACATCATAATTTGTGAGCTTTAATGGGTTTATAGGAAGAGTGTAAGCAAATCTAAAAAATTTAGGAGAAATACACTAATTCCTGGAAAAACTGACTGAAAATGTATCAGATAACACAATTAAAATGTCAGTTTTGCCATGATTTAAACAAATTAATTCCCAGAATTTTGTGAAAAAACTATTTTTTAATTATTTAAAGTTTTACATCCATGTGCAGTGGTTTTACCCACAAATTATGCACTTGTACATAAGCAAATCAAATAATTGTTAGACTCAAATTACCCAATTTGTGTAAAAATGTCCCCATGTGAATGTGCAAATAGCAGCTTCCTACAGTACATAAGAATGTGCACATTACTTAAATTAGTTTAAAATGTGCAAACAAGCCATGTTCAAAATAAAACTGAACTTAAAACACTGACAAATGTTAACTGCAAATTTAATCTGTTAGGAGGGTTCCAGCCTATTTGGACCACATTTTGCTCCCAGCAGAGTCACTACAACTGGTTGAATGTGGGCTAATTATTCAGTTCAAAGCAACTGCTATTTTTCGTGTTTTTTCAGTAATATATGGACTAGAATTTGATCAATGAACTGTTGGAAATAAATTAATGATTCTGTACAGTCACTCAGACTGTATAATGGATTTGCTAGGCAACATGCTGCATTGCTGTTGATTTTTATGCTGAAGTTAGAAGTGCACCTCTGAAGTGGAAATTCATCTAGCACTAACAGACAAAATAAAAAACTGGGATATAGCTCCTAAATAGGTATGCAGGTATGGTATTATACAGCTCATCATTACAGAGAAGTTTCAGGTATGTATTGGTAGGATCCTCTCTCAATAATAATTTAAACTGTGGCATTCATTTGTTCAACATATAATCTAAGCCAATCGCTTTATAGGATTTTTAAAGCATTAGAGACTTACATGACTAATGAGAGGGGATAAAGAAAGTCCCCTTAATAGGGATATAAACCCTTATGCTTCAAGGTATAAGTAATATATGAACTAGAGAAGATAGGAATTGCTGTACTAAATTAAACCATGGTCCATCAAGACCTGTATGCTATTTCCTGTATTTCTAATACTAAGAAGTAGTTACTGTGGACTATATAAGATATATTGTAGCTGATAAAAGGTATTTATTTAAATATGAAACCCTCTTATTGGTGTATGTCTTCGCTAGTTAAATCTTTGGGATCAGTTGTAAAAATCAGGCTAGGAATCTTGACATTATCAAAGATTTTTATAGAATTACTTGCAAGAGAGGTGATATTTGTCAGTGTCTTGGCATAGTGCAACATGGGCATTTGAATTCTGCCTGCCTAATTTTTTTGTTCAGTTTTGATTTTAATAAGATGGTCTTCATTTCCTTTCCTAATGCTGGTACAAAATAGTTTTCATATCCTAATCGAGTTGTGAATATGCTGAAATCATTAAATCCTGGAGAGTCTTTAAAGTTCTTGGAGATGTTTTTGGATGAAATGGCCTATGTATGTGTCAGTTATTAATAGACAATATCAAATATAAGATATACTTGGAGATATCTGTTTACCTTTATTTCAGTCTTTCCCCACTCTTTTTCTTTAATTCGTTATTGATCATTCTATCTTGCATGTAATGTAATAGTAGCCGTCTTAGTTCCAGGTTATTAAAGAGATAAAATGGGTGAGGTAATCTTTTTGGTCCAGTTCTAGTTGGTGAGGGAGACACGTTTTGAGCCCCTCAGAGCTCTTCTCCAGGTGTGGGAAAGGAGCTCCCAGCAACAACTGATAACTGGCCACTCTACCTCGAATGGCCCCTTACAATACTGTATATGCTAACTACTTATGCTAAACAATCTGTTCTATCTTGCATGTCTTGCTGCAAGAGAGTCAAGACCCAGGTTATTTGTATAATGATGTCACTGGCTGGTTCATCTGTGGGGACTCACTGCAGAACCTCTAGGTCTAAACATGTAGATTCTGCTGCATGAGCTGAAGCGCTGGGTGTGTATACTGTTCTCTTGGGGACAGCAGATCTGTTATGACTGTGAATATTCAATGGAGAAGGGACCTGCTGGACCCTATTGGGGAATGCTTTAAAAATTGGCTTGGAGTCCTGTATGTACCTAGTGTTAACCTGCAAGGCAAAATAAGGGCTGGAGTAGCCCAGAGGAGATAGTTTAGGTAACCAATGGGCTGCTGGAGTCAGGAAGATGACATCCAGTAAGGCTCGAGCAAGTCTCTTTCAGTAGAGATGGAAGTTAACAAGATCACTCACAGTCCTGGGTACCTGGAAAACAGTCTGATCCATATTATATACACGTTGAACCATGATGGTCTGGGACTCTGGTCTGGCAACATCCGCGATCTGTCCATAACTCAGATATTGCTCGACTAGAGAGCCCCAGCAGCAGAGGTTGCTGGCAGCTGGGAGCCGAGCCAACCAGCGGGGACAGTGGAGCACCAGAGTCTGCAGCCAGCAGGGCATGGAAGCCGCCATGGCTGCCAGAGGTCCCAGGGTTCAGGGGAAGCAAAGCTGGAGGGGCTGTGGGAGCTTGCGGGGCCACGGAGCCCGCAGGGCTGCCACTGTCAGGGACTGGAGACAGCAGTGTCAGGTGGCTAGTGAGAGAATACCAGTGGGGAGAAAACTCCCCTCTCCAGGACTAGTCAGGTTTTATGGGTGCTGGACCAGGGAGATCCAACCTGTATAATGGACCACAAAATTCATACCCTTTAACGGCATGTCAAACACACAAATCTTAGCCAGTGACTGGAAAAACACTGCTAACTTCAAAATAGTCCAGCAAAACAAAGCACACAGTTGGTGAGAGAGTATTCTACAAACAGAGTCCAATCAAGCCATCCTTTCTTTGTGTTTATCCATCCTCACAATTCCCTAAAAGAGAGTTTCCATTGCAGTGACAAGATTGACTTGAAATCCAGCTGCAGCTGGAATTTGCCTTGGTAAGGAGGGGTAAAAATTCAGTAAGGGTATGTCTACACTGCCACTCTAGTTCGAACTAAGGTGGCTAACGTAGGCATTCAAACTTGCAAATGAAGCCCAGGATTTAAATATCCCGGGCTTTATTTGCATGTTCCCGGGCGCCGCCATTTTTAAATGCCCCGTAGTTCGAACTACCTGCCCGCGGCTACACGTGGCACGGACTAGGTAGTTCGAATTAAAGTTCCTAATTCGAATTACCATTACTCCTGCAATGAGGAGTACCCTAAGGACCTCAGGCTTTGGTCCATAGTACTGAAGAATGAAAATATCATGCCCAGGGGGCAAGAATTTCCTCATATTTCTAATTTAGGCTTAGTAATTCAATATCTTCTAATAGTCATCCTATTGAGCTAAACTCCTTTCGGTGTGCTGTTGTGGAGGACATCAATAGAGAGGTCAGACCACCTACTTTGATTGCTTTGGGAAGATCAGCTTACTATGCCTTGCAAGAAGGATGTGGTGGGGGGCTTCCACTAGCTTCTTGAACAGATAGTTACCAGAGATCAGCAGTACAAAGGTAACACTTCTGTGCTAGTAATACATGGGTCCAATGTACATCCTATTACAAATTTGATTTTAGCTTTCTCCTTGTTTTTAGACAGTAGAGTTATTGTTCTTTAATACAGGAGAGTTCTTAAATGGCTCTACTTGACAGTCAAATATCACCTCATACAGGCAAATCAAGCTGTATAACTTACAAAGAACCACAGCATTAAATGTTTCACTTTAAACAAATGATCTCATCCTATGGCTGGGAGTGTAATTAACATTTTCTCTTCTAACAGTTTGAAAAACTTCCCCAGTGCCAGCTCCACGTCTATGCTGGCTCAAATTTAATTACTGGAATTTTCATCAGTCTAGCTAAAATCCTTCCTAGATCCTCCTTTGTTTGAAGATTTCAGCCACACCCCATTAGCCACATGACTAACTGCAAAGACCAGCTTTTCACAACTTGAAAGGGGCCTTTCTCTTTAGGAGGGTTGTACATGTCTATATTTCAGAACTCACAAGATGATTTTACAGCCACAAGGGAAAAATGGATCAATCCAGAAAATAGTTTTATACCTTTTTCCATGCATTTACTTTAGAACTTGGTAAGCAACTAGTTGAATATTATGCACACAGAATAACTTGAGTGTACGCTTTGCAAGTATATTACTGGCATATAGCTCTGTTGGTGCAGTACTTTTTGCAATCTCTATGCTATATGAACTGACTAGAGAGCTCTACTTGTAGCAGTACATCCAACCAATGCATAAATACAAAGCAAATACATAATTTTCCACTTCATTACCCTGACATGACATTAGTTATTGTCCAAAAATAGGTATTATTTGTGTCTTTAGTCATCAATACAATTCAAACCTAAGCACTAAACATTAGTTTTTTCAGATTTCTTACCTGCATAATCTGTTACATCGTTTTTTGTTTTTCTTCGTGGACTATGCAGTTTACCACTGCCTTTCTTATGAAAGGTACTACACAAAATCTTTAGTATTAATAATTATCCCTTTACTCTTAAATAGTAAATATACCTGGTTTTTCTAGGGCTTTTCATTCATAAGATTGAAACTGCTTTCTAAAGGAATCAAGAATCATTATCTCCACTTTACAGATGGGAAAACTGTGGCACAGAGGTGAACTGAATTGCCGAAGGTCACCCAGCAGACCAGTGGCAGAGCCAGGAATAGACATCAGGTCCAGTGCTTGATTCCATAGGCCACTTTGAGTAGTATCAATTTTTCAAGGAAGAAGGATTAAAACAGAAGCTCTAAACTTTCACTGAGTAAGGTCAGTTTTCAAGTAGGATGTTGGAACCAGAAGGTGGAGGAAGGACAGGAGCACAGCTGGGTAAAGAGAAGAAAAGAAAATGAGATAGGTAGCCAGAGCTGACATGAGGCATTCTAGGGATTACACGCTAATCCCATCTCCCTGATGCTGGTTGGGAAAAAATATAAATGGAGATGCTACTGGGATGTGCCCTGCCATCTATTTTTCCCTAAACCAAGAAATTCATTTGGCTTAGTGGCAAGGTACTTGTGCTTTGGACACCATCTTGACCAGCAGCAGAGGGAATGGGGGGGCAGGGGAGAGCAGCCTTGTCCAAGGTTGTTTTGAAAATATAAACTAATGAGAGAAAAAGAGATCTGAGGAAATCCACAAAAACCAGCAGCCTGTCATAATAAAATACAGAGTACTTGTTCTCACTGTAAAGTTAACTTGAGTAATAATTCAAGTGTTGCCTGTAACTCAGGTCCCATCAATATACAGAAGCCCTTAACCTAAGTGCGGGTAATGGTGGTGCTTTTCTGGTTAACATTTTATATAATGTTTGCTTTTTGATACAAAATATCATAATACAATGAGAAAAAAATCAAAGTTATGCACTTAAAATCACCTGCTGTAATACATTGCACACAGGTGATATGCATGCACAGAAACAAATGTGTGGCATCCTTAATATTAAACACTTTATCCCAGGCTTTAATAATATCTTCAAAACTCCAACTTGAACATTATTCTTCAGCTTTGGCTGTTCACACTTAAGAAGAGTAACTCAAGTGCAGGCAGCTTGAATTAAATCGGAAGTGAAGTTGTACCCAGGGAGACTGAATGCCTAGAGGAATGGCATTTAGAGATGGGCCCAGACCCAAAGGATTCCAAATTTAGTTGATTTTGAAAATTGAACCCAGATACAGATCTGAATTTTTCAAATGAATTTTATCTGTATAATTGGCTGAGCAAATAGCTGAGCACCTTCTGTTTTTCTTTGACAGGCTTTTAAAAATCAAATGGCACATTTCTCAAGTTATTTTTCTTGAGAAATAAACTAATGCCTCACGAGTGAGATTTCTTTAGAGGTTAAGTTTAGCAGTATTTAAGGTGGTAAAGGCTACCTTCAAAGCTGTTTCTTTTTTTTACAGAGAGGGGCTATAATGGATGCACAGGAATACAGCATAAAAGGAATATTTCTAGAAGAAGAAGCTTTAGAAGGGGTCCCTAGAGAGAAAGGTGGGTAAGGGAATATCTTTGGTTAGATCAGCTCCTATAAGCTTTTATCTACTTTTTTCTTCATGCTCCGATCTACAGATGATGTAAACAATGAGCCTCCTTTAGCACGGTAGGGAATTTTGGGAACTTTTACTGCTCCGTCCCTCACCTCCCCGACCCAGAGTGTAACATATGGCTGGGGCACCCACAGTAAGAGGAGCGCGTTTCAGACTTGAGCCTGCAAGGTCTTAGAGGCCAGTAAAGTAAAGGAGTAAAGCGTACTGATGGGATGGACAGGTAATGGTTTAGGAGTGGAGGCAGAAGGTTCTCAACAGCAATTTGTTACCTGGCAATTTCTGGTGTTTGTATCCAAAACTGAGACCATAAAACTATGGTCATTGTTCAGCTTTCTTGAACAACACTGTGACTGTTGCTTACTGAACTCATAAGAGGCCCTGGATTGTGTTGGAATTTGTACAAAATGTTGCAGTTTCTTCTCCAAGTATGGTTTTTTACATAGTACCAGTGGCCCTGTAGTCCACTGTCAGTTCAGAAGACAAAAGGTGGCAACTAGTCAGTGCTCTGGTTGCTTGGGCAAAGAGCTAAACTTTAAGCATGGTTTGTGCTGCAACTGAGACCACATCATGTCTCCAGTTTGTCATAATATTTATTCACAACATTTTTGTGTGTGTCAGAGAGAGAGAGAGATTTGACTCGTCATTCAGATGAGATCCAGATCTCCATTTATTTAAACTTGGTGTATACAACATGGCTCCAAGAGGCCTCTGGAGAAGAGCTTGGGGAGAAACGCTACCTGCCTTTAACTGCACGGCACTCGGCGTTCTAATGGCTCATTGAATTAATAAGTAATTAGGTTAACTTTTCAAAACTATGGTTTAGAAAGTATTTTTCACCCACATATCTTGCAAAGATTATTAAATAGAGCTCTCGCTCCTTATTGGCATATTAGAAGATTTACATGGCATTTCTTGGGCCCTTAAATCAAATGGGGTTTGTTTTTCTTCATTTAAATAATTGCTGTGGAGGTGGAGCTGGGGGTGAGGGTTCAGTAAGTAGGCTGCCTTAGGAGAAAGGACAACCCCAGCCCTCTCTCACTGCAGCAGCTTGAAACCAAGTGAGAAGTGCCTATCCATGGCCAATGCAGCTGCAGCGGGCACAGCCAGGGGAAGGGTGCCTGTACCTCAGTTAGGAGGACAGACAGACACACAAACAAACAGAGAAAGGTCTCTGACATATATAGTAAATAACTGTTACTTTCTCCACTTCTACCCCTTGCTGGCCTAAGGGAGTTATAGTAGTCCTGGTCCCCATCTCTGGTCCCTTGCTGTCCTCTGTGGTCATTCTATGATTAATCATTAATATGATTTAATTGGGATAACAGAGACTTGGTGGGATGACTCGCATGACTGGAGCACTGTCATGGAAGGGTATAGACTGTTCAGGAAGAACAGGCAGGGGAGAAAAGGAGGAGGAGTTGCACTATATGTAAGAGAGCACTATGATTGCTCTGAACTCCAGTATAAAGAGGGAGAAAAACCTGTTGAGAGTCTATGGATTAAGTTTAAAGGAGCAAACAATAGCAGTGATGTTGTGGTTGGTGTATGCTACAGGCCACCAAATCAGGTGGATGAGGTAGATGAGGCTTTCTTCGGACAACTGAGAGAAGCTTCCAGATCGCAGGCCCTGGTTCTCGTGGGGCACTTTAATCACCCTGACATCTGTTGGGAAACCAATACGGCAGTACACAGGCAATCCAGGAAGTTTTTGGAGAATATTGGGGATAACTTCTTGACACAAGTGCTGAAGGATCCGACCAGGGGCCGTGCGCAGCTTGACCTTCTGCTCACAAACACGGAGGAACTAATAGGGGAAGTAGAGGTGGGTGACAACCTGGGAAGCAGTGATCATGGTAGATTTCAGGATACTGACCAAAGGAAGAAAAGAGAGTAGTAAAATACACACCTTGGACTTCAAAAAAGCAGATTTTGACTCCCTCAGAGATCTCATGGACAGAATCCCCAGGGATGCTAACATGAAGGGGAAAGGAGTCCAGGACAGCTGGCAGTATTTTAAAGAAGGCTTATTGAAGGCACAGAAAGAAACCATCCCGATGCGTAGCAAGAGAGGCAAACATGGTAGGAGAAATCTTTGGTGAACTTAAGCACAAAAAGGAAGCTTACAAAGAGTGGAAACTTGGACAAATGACCAGGGAGGAGTTTAAAGGTATAGCTCGAGAATGCCGGGGGGTTATCAGGAAGGCGAAAGCGCAAATGGAATTGCGACTGGCTAAGGATGTGAAGGATAACAAGAAAGGTTTCTACAGGCATGTTAACAAGAAGAAGGTGATCAGAGAGGGTGTCTGATCATAGAATGGTCACCCAGTAAGCTAAAGAGGGTGTGGCGTCCTCCACCCTCAGGACTGGGTTAACCCCGTCTCAACCAGTGCAGGGTGGGTATGCCCCGTCACACCCACCCATTTTCTAGAATCAAGTTTCTATCACGAATTCTTGGCTTCCAGCGTTAGAAATTTGATTTCTGTGAACATTGGTGGTAATCTTAGTTGCTAGAAGGTCTGTGGAAAAGTAAACACAAGAAAAAACAATCCAGACACTGTCTAGGAGCATTCATTCAGTGTGAGAGGCAATCATATGATAAGTCTATCCTCTTGCATAAGAGACAACATGGCAAATCATACCATAATCCCTGCATTTCACAAGCCCAGTAACCTTTGCTTTAGCTGCCAGTGTTTCCCAAACTATGGGCCGTGGCCTGGTACCGGGCCGTGGGAAAAAAATACCAGACCTCAGCATGGCTGCTGGGAGGGGAGCAGAGTGGGGTGGGCTGGAGGAGGTGGAGGAGTGGGGAGAACCGGCAGGGTTGGGGGCAGCGGGGCTGTCCCGCAGAGATCCGGGCAGGCAGGTGGGCGGGCAGTGAAAGCAGGACTGGGGGCAGCAGGGCTGTCCGGCAGAGATTGGGGAGGGCAGGTGGCGGAAGCAGGGTTGGAGGTAGCGGGGTTGTCACGCGGAGATGGGGGTGGGGGTCGGGCAGGCGGCAGAAGCAGGATTGGGAGTAGTGGGGCTGTCCAGCGGAGATCGGGGAGGGCAGGCAGTGGAACCAGGACTGGACAGGAGCCGGGGGGGGGGCTGGCCGGGGAGATCAGGAGGAGGAGGACAGGAGAATCAGCTGCTGGAAGCAGGGCTGGACGGGGGCAGCGGGGCTGGTCGGGGGAGATCAGGACTGACCCGGGCACATGCAGATCCTGGCACACGAGCGAGTCCAGCCCCGGGGATTCCATTTTGCCCCCCCACACACACATACCCTCCCTCAAGTAGTTGCGAACTGCCTGGCTGGTAGACACACTCACGCAGTATGAGCACATCTACCAGCCAGGCAGTTTGCATGTAAGGACTGATACACCTAATTATAATAAAACTTACCTAATTAGAAAATACCAGGCATTTTATATGTCTGGTAATTTCTCAAAGGGGAGATTGGTGGGGGGTGGGGGGAACTGACCACCGGAAGCAGGGCTGGATGGGGGCAGCAGGGCTGGACTGGAGAGATCAGGAGGAGAAGGCGGGGGGAGCGGGACTGACCTGGGCACATGCAGAGCCTGCAGACCCTGGCAGACAAGTGTCTCTGGCCGGGGATTCCATTTCCCCGCCCCCTCCCTACATACCCTCTCTGGAGTAGTTGCGAACTGCCTGGCAGGTAGACACAGTCAGGCAGTGTGAGCACATCTACCAGCCAGGCACTTTGCAGCTAAGGACTGATACACCTAATTATAATAAAACTTACCTAATTAGAAAGTACCAGGCATTTTGTATGTCTGGTAATTTCTCAATTTCTTTCCCGGACAAAACCTTAAAATACTGGACTGTCCGGTACAAAACCGGACATCTGGCAACCCTACTCTTCCTTGCACCCTCCCTCCTAGCCAGATACCCTACCCCCAATCTGCTCCTGTTCCCGGCTTCTGGAGTGCTCATGCGGTGCCAGGTCTCCCAAGCCCTGGCCCAGGCTGGGTGGAGGATGCAGCCGGGTGAAACACTGAAAATGTATTCATTTTTCATTCTTTTTTTTATATGTGTTTATATTTTTGGGCTGCAAAAAAACAGTACTGAAAAAAAAACGTTTTCCAACTAAAGTAAAAAGTTTGCGAAACCCTGATCTAGCCAGCTTTCTATCCATGTTACAGTCCATTTATCCTATCCATATTCCCTTAACTTGCTGGCAAGAATATTGTGGGTGACTGTATCAAAAGCTTGCTAATGCTGGCACTGGGGGCTTTGGGAGGACCAGAAACAACTTATTTGAATATTCATAATTTGCTTAATGAATACGCAAATATGCAAATGACTGTTACCGGTCCTCCAAAAGCTCATGAATGGATTTACTGGTCCCCGTGTCAAAAAGTTTGAGAACCCCTGCTTTAGCTGAAAGCACAGACTTTTTTAAATGGCCCCTCTAGCACATGCTGTAGCAATCTGCTCTATGAGTTAATTATAGTCACTATTAAAATGCATGCTTTATTTTCAGTTTTATCTTGTCTAGCTTGAAATCCTCCCAGCTTGTAATCAAGAATAACTTTTTGATCACAGTTCACATGCACTACAGTGCCTAGAAACGTCAAACAACACGGTCTATGCTTTTGATTAACATTGTTGCATTCTGTCACAGTGTTGTCAAAATGAATTGTTGAGTGAATAAACATAAACTGAAGTTTTTACAGGTCTCTAATACTTTTGGACACCTTTATTGTCAGGAATATAGGCTTTCAAATACTTTTGGCAGCTTTAAAAACCTTAGCCTCAGTGTTCCCACTACAAAAAGAAAAAACAGACAAAAAACAAACAAAAAAGTTTATCCTGACAGCTTGAAGATTTTCTTTATCATTTTTAGTATTCTATTTTCTCCAAAGCTTTTGATTTTTAAAGAATCTAATACATACGCTATGGAATTATAGGCAGGCCCCAGGTTACGTCAGTCCGACTTAAGTT